TGTTATAGCATCGAACAATATCAATTAAAGACCCACGGTCATGCTTGACTCGGGCACATAGGTAACTGTCACCAAACCTATACACCGACCTCACATAGCACATAGCAAATAATGTCCTAATCCTAATCCATCAAGCCAAAGTTAGATCAATCACTTACCTCGATGCTGAAACTAGCAATCAAGCCTCTAACACCGCCTTTCCTTTAGAATCCGATTCCCACACAACGATATCTAGGCATAATTAGGTTCAAAATTATCAATAATAACCCAAAATCACAATCCCATAGCCTAGAAATGCATTCCCTAGCTTTCTTTCAAAAATTCTAAAATCCGACCTCGGGCCCACATGGTCCAAACTCGAGGCTCGGACCAAAACTCAATCCCCCATATCCCCACGAGTTCAAATATATGAGTAGATTTTAAATTCGACCTCAAATTGAGGTTGAAATGCCCAAAATCCCATAACCCCTAGCTAACCCTAAAACCCTTAAATTCTAGCTTAAATTCATGTTTTAGAGTTAGGAATTTAATGATTTGATGAAGAAATATTGAAGGAATGAAGTTAGAATTGACTTACCCAAAGAGCTAGGAAGATTGGAAGCTTGATTTTTCGTCTATGGAGGTTTTTTAGAAGAGGGTTCGAGTGGAAAAATGAAGAGGAGGACGGATGAATAGTATTCTGTAAATAGTAATCACTGGGCAAAATAAGCCTACGCGTTCGCGACATAGGGACGCGTCCGCGAAGGGGAGTGGCCAAGCAAGCATCGCGTTCGCGAAGGCCTAGTGCGAACGCGAAGAAGGAAAAGTGGGAGGCTTCAGAGCTGGCCTACGCGAACGCGTATGGACCACGCGAACGCGAAAGGGAAAACGGGCAGGGGTCCTGAAAGGCCTACGCGAATGCGTGAATGGACCGCGAACGCGAAGCTTTGGGGAGGTCTGGGCTACGCGAACGCGAGAGTGCAGTGCGTTCGCGAAGGGTAAATTGGTCTGCAACAGCTGATGATTTCTGATGTGTTTTCAAAGCAAGAATCATCCCGAACCACCCCCAAAAACACTCCCGAGCCCTCGGGGCTCCCTACCAAACACTCATACTAACTCATTAACACCCTACAAACTTAGTCGAGCGATTAAATCACCAAAATAACATCAAAAACAACGAATTAAACCATGAAATCCATATTTTCCATTTTTAAACCTCAAACTTAAAAATTAGCTTTTAAGGTCCGAAACACGTCAAACGACGTCCGATTTCGACCAAACTTTACAGATAGAACTTAAACACTATATAAGACCTGTACCGGGCGTCGGAACCAAAATACGAGCCTGATACCATAGCTTTTTAACCAATTTTCATTTCTATTTTCCTTGATTAATTTCAGAAAATAATTTTACAGAAAAATTCATATCTTGGGCCTGGGACCTCGGAATTCAATTCCGGTCATACGCCCAAGTCCCATATTTTCTTACGGATTTTCAGAAATTGATAAATCACGGGTCCAGGCCCGTTTACCCAAACTGTTGACCGAAGTCAACCATACCAATATTATACTTAAAATTCATCATTTTAAACATATAATTCAACTTTCACATTATAAAAACTTTCCGGCTTCGCGCCCAGACTGTGCACGCAAAATCGAGGCAACCCCTCAAGAGGTTTTCGAGGCCTCGAAAGCACGGAGCAAGGGAGAATTACGGTTATGACCCTTTGGGTCATCACAGAAACCGTCGCTTCAGCGGCTCAATCATCAGTTCCAGTTGCTGAGAGGGAAGGTGGTTCCTCAGCAGTTGCTTTAGTCGGAGAAGTAAGTTTCAACCCGTTGGCGGGGGAGGGAGCCTCGACCTCTCGGCCGGTTGAGGAAGAAAGGGACGTCGCAGGAGGGGAATTTGACTCTGAATCTGACTTGGATCCTGACGACGTCCGCACGTTCCAAGAAGGCCTCACCAACGCGACGGCGCATGCAGAGGGACTTTCATTATGCTGAGATTCCTACTGAGCAGAACTTGCTGCTTGAGGAGGATAATTTGGTGCCGATGTTTGCAGCTTTGTGCTCAGAGGAGGAAAGCAGGTCGCTGAGGGACGTTACAGACGTCAGATTAATGACCGAGGCGGCCGTGATGGGTTTTAGGGTACGTGTGATGATCCTCTTTCGTTTTCCTCTTGCCTGGATTCGTTTTCTCTTTTAATCATAGCTTTTGCTTTGCAGACTTATCTTTTGGAGATAGAGGGTATTCGCCGAGCCAACGTTTGCTCGGGGATATTTTTGCGGGCGCTGGAGAAGTACCGCCGCTACCGGGATAGGTGCCGCGTGATGCGCGAGCGCATGAGGAATGACCCCCGCAGCCGGGAGTTGGTTGAAGAGTTGGCGAGGTGGGAGCTTCTAGTGCAGCAGACTCAAAATAGGGTAAACGCTCTTGAGGAGCAACTTCGTCGTAAGGACGAGGAGATGGAGGCCGAGAGGAGCGCTGTTGCTGAGAGGGAGCGCCGAAGTCAGGAGGCCGTGGCGGAGACCTCTGAGGCCTTGATCAGGCAGGCGGTTAACTTGGAGAATGAGCTCGCTGCCTAGAGGCAGCAAGCAAGGGATGCTTCGACGAGTGCTGGGGCGTTGGAGGCGGTGGTCCGCGTTCGTGAGAGGGAACGGGAGCTGGAGAGATCTGATGCGGCTTTCAGAGTGGCGGGGCTGGAGGAACGCATTGGCGTTTATGAACGGGATGCCCAGATAGCGGCAGATCAAATTACGGCCTTAGAGGCCGAGAATTAGCATCTGAGGGACCAGGCCGCCTCCTGTAGCCCCGCTCGTGATCTTTGGTCGTTTGCTGAGGCCCAGCTTGACGTTTATAAGAAATTGTGGGAAGCCGGCGTTGTGCCTGAAGCTCTTTATGCGGGGGCCCGCCAAAAGGCTCGTGATGCTCGTCTTGACTGCGGCTTCGACCCAGCTACTCCAGGGGTTGATGATGGTGCTGAGGGCGCTGATGGTGACGTGGGTGGCGTCGAGTAAAAAGGCTTTGTAATGTTAGTTTTGTTTTATTTTTTTTCCCATTGTAAATAAAGTCGTAGATGTATATGTACCTTTATGTTCCTTTTCTGGTTTTGTGTTTATTTTGCGTTTTTCTTGTTCCCAAGTTTTCTTTTTGTATTCGTTCAAGGGGGCTTCGCCTTTAGAGTTTTTCTGGTGGGCATGTTGAGCCCCCAACGACTTTAGTCGTGGTAACGTCGATGGCCTTGACCATGATGACGTTGATGGTCTTGACCAGTTATACGATTTTGACCGTTGTCAAATTCATTTGCTTGCCTTAGTCAAAAATTAGGTCGGCTACTAGCGTCGATGGCCTTAGCCGTGATTAGACTTTTTGCCTTATCGTTTTCCTTTACTCGGTATGAGTAGGTTGTCGCCATTATTTGGCGAATGTGGCATATAACCTTAGTCCCAGTTTGGGCGTGGTCGAACTGTGGGTCGTGGCCTTGTAGTTCGACCGGGGCTGAACTTTTTGCGGCTCGACTCTTAGTTCGAGTTAGGCGTACTTACTTGAGTGGCGAGGGTGCTAGACTTGTTCTTTTGTCGAGGAACATGCCTTGCTACGTCCAATGGTGAGGGCGCTTGGCCCGAGTCTTGGTTCAGACTGGGTTTTTTACTGCGTCCAATGTTGGGCTTTTTGACTTTCAGGACGAGGGTGTTCAGTCTTGCCGAAAGTGGCGAGATCGGGTTGGTGATGGCGAAGGTATTCAGCCTGAGTCCTAGTTTAACTCATAGTTGAACTTCTTGGGCGAAGGCGCGTAGCCTGAGTTGTTGTTCAACCCTAGTTGAACCTTTGTAGTTTTTGATGGCGAAGGCACTTAGCCTGAGTCCCAGTTCAACTCATAGTTTAAATTTTTGGACGAGGGCACGTAGCCTGAGTTGTTGTTCAACCATAGTTGAACCTTTGTAATTCTTGATGGCGAAGGCACTTAGCCTGAGTCCCAGTTCAACTCATAGTTGAACTTCTTGGGCGATGGTACGTAGCCTGAGTTGTTGTTCAACCATAGTTGAACCTTTATAATTCTTGATGGCGAAGGCACGTAGCCTTAGTCCCAGTTCAACTCATAGTTGAACTTCTTGGGCGAGGGCACGTAGCCTGAGTTGTTGTTCAACCGTAGTTGAACCTTTATAATTCTTGATGGCGAAGACACTTAGCCTGAGTCCCAGTTCAACTCATAGTTGAACTTTTTGGGCGAGGGCACGTAGCCTGAGTTGTTGTTCAACCGTAGTTGAACCTTAATAATTCTTGATGGCGAAGGCACTTAGTTTGAGTCCCAGTTCAACTCATAGTTGAGCTTCTTGGGCGAGGGCACGTAGCCTGAGTTGTTGTTCAACCGTAGTTGAACCTTTATAATTCTTGATGGCGAAGTCACTTAGCCTGAGTCCCAGTTCAACTCATAGTTGAACTTCTTGGGCGAGGGCACATAGCCTGTGAACAGACGGTGCCAAATTGTTTAGCTCAAAGTTATCGTATACTTTGTAAGCATAAATCAATCATAGTAAAACAAGGGCCAATCATAGCGGATCGTAATAAAAAATCAAAAGACCGAATAAAAAGGACAGGAAACAAGTTTATGTATTAAGATGATAAAGGTGGGAAGCTTTTTATTGATTAATATTGATGTGGTTTGCCTCTCCTTGGAGAGGTTCAGAGCCTTACAATGGTTTTCTCTCTTTTTTTAGAAGTAGAGGTGAAGAAGAAGAAGCAGCCCTCCTTTTAGGGTTCTTTCTCTTAGTATTTATAGCTGTGAACCCTTCCAGCTGGCGCTGGACGGCCGTGGTCATGTCGAGGGGACGCCCATCATCAGTGAGTAGGTCGTGGCCTCGTTGGTTAAACCGAATGATCTTCTTACGCTATCATTAACGAATGGTTGTGCTATTTGTTAGCCCGAATAGGCTTAAGAGCGAATTAATCTCATTGATTATCGTGAGTCAAGTTTTGACCCATACAAAATTTACTCTGTTTTATATGGTGAAAATCAACAGGCAAGAGGTTCCATGATTATGTTCGTGTCTTCATTTATCACCTTTATGGCCATTGGTGGATTCCCCTCTTTTGTGGAAGATATGAAGGTATAATACATATGTTTTGCTTTAACAATTTCCTTTTTTATATCCTTCCTTCTCACGCTAATAATAGGTTTCTGAAAATTATGAAAAAAATAGGTATTTCAACTAGAACTACTAAACGGTCACTATGGCTCTGGTTCTTTTGTCATTGCCAACACACTGTCTGCTTTGCCATACTTGCTTCTGCTGTATTTGATCCCAAGAGCCATTGCTTATTTCCTCACTGGGCTCCAGAATGGATTCGAGCATTTCATTTACTTTGCTTTGGTCCTCTTATTTTTTTTATATTTTTTTTTTGCACCGGGTGTTCGAGTTTTTATGAGCCCCGACTAATCCCGGGGGTGCACAGGCTCTCGGCAAGGAGTTTCCCGCAAGTGCACCACGGTTAATTCAAGTTTTACCCAGTCCGATGGCCCTCAGAAATTGTTTGCACCCAGTGGGTTTCGAACTTGAGACCTTGAAAGGGAGCATACCCCAAGGCTCAAGTCAATTTCCACCAGGCCAACCCCTGAGGGTTTGGTCCTCTTTACCTGCATGATATAGCCTAATGATGATCGTAGCAAGCATCGTGCCTAATTACCTCATGGGGATAATAACTGGAGCAGGAATACAAGCCCTTATGGTACTAAGTGGCGGATTCTTTCGATTGCCAAATGATTTGCCTAAGCCATTCTGGAAGTACCCTCTATAAGATTATTCATGTCTATCTCGCCTAACGAAATCAATTCTGCAGAAAGACCTTTGGATGAATTTGCTTCCTAAAAATATGAATCCTTTGTTTTTTTTCATAACGATGAGGCTTACTTGGGAGCACTTGCTCCTAAGCACCAAATTAGGTCGTGACAGAATATGTTCTTGAATTTATTCGAGATGTGAGTAATACTCAAATTGGCGAAGAATATGGGCCATGGGTTCCAAATATGAGTGTGTATACCGTCATTGATGATACCTATGATGCTTATGCTACTTATAACGAATCCGTGCCTTTCACAAGTGCAATCAAGAGGTAAACACATAAAGTCAATAGTCAATCTTTGTCCTTTAGACTATGTTATAAGTCAAGTAGGTTGCTGAAATAAACAAAATCCAATATTGATAGTTGAAAAGAAAAAAAAGTTATATATAAAGTATAAGACTACTCGTAATTAATGATGTGAGGTATTAAATATTGAAATCTATTGAGTGCAGATTGAATAATATTTTGATGAAACTTTGTGTACTAAAATGTAACAATAATGTCCAAGTGTTAGTTGTAAAGACGATAACTTTCGTGGGCGAAGTGCACATATAGCCACTAAAAGCAGTGGCTTTTATTTTAAAGCCACTGTTTTGAATGTATTTAGATAATAGCCACTCCTTTAATAAATTTATACCTGATTGGACAATAATACCCTTCTAGTATAACTTATACCTACGCGTCTATAACCAACAGCAGCAATTAGAGAAGCTAAAAACGGGAACATCAGCAGCTACAAAAACGGCGATCAACTGAGGCAATCTACTGCGGCGACCAACAATTTCTCTTCCGATTTCAAAAATTCAACACTCTAATCCAAAAAAACTACATAGATAAACAGTAAGTTCTACTTTATTGTGTTTCTATAGAATTTTATTTCGCTATTGTTATATTTTTTTTAGATCTGTATTGATTTGATTGTACAATAGATACGAATTTGTCCTTAACTTTGAATTTCTGGATTTATAAAGTTTAGGACATCACCTCCTATTATAATTCTGTATTCCGGACATAGTGTCTTCATTTTGGAGATTGAATTCAAAAATTAAGAACACAATGTCTTTAAACTTTGATTCTACTGCCCTCACTTTGCAATATCATTTACAAAAACTTAAGGATATTGTTGTTGTTCTTCTGTATACAAAGTTCTGTAGCTTTAGTGTCAAATTGTATGTTTCAATTTCTGGTTCAAAAGTTAAGGACTGTCAGTCCTTAACTTTTGAACCAGAAATAAAAAGCTAAGGACTTCCAGTCCTTAAACATTAAACCTTGGAATTAAAAAGTCAAGGACTACCAGTCCTTGACATTCAACCATGGAATTAAAAAGTTAAGGACTACTAGTCCTTAAGGTTTAATTTCTGGTTCAAAAGTTAAGGACTATAAGTCCTTAAGTTTTAATTCCATTGTTTAATGTCAAGGACTGGTAGTCCTTGACTTTTAATTCAATGTTTAAATGTTAAGGACTGGTAGTCCTTAACATTTAAACCAGAAATGAAAAGTTAAGGACTGCTCTTCCTTAAACATTAAAATTTGGAATTAAAAAGTTAAGGACTTTTAGTCCTTAAGTTTTAATTTTTGGTTCAAAAGTTAAGGACGGGAAGTCCTTAAGTTTTAATTTTTGGTTCAAAAGTTAAGGACGGGAAGTCCTTAAGTTTTAATTCCATAATTAAATGTCAAGGACTGGTAGTCCTTCACTTTTAGTTCGATGTTTAAATGTTAATGACTGGTAGTCCTTAACTTTTAATCTCATTACTAAATGTCAAGGAGGGGCAGTCCTTACCGTGGATTTGCACTTACAATACACCTGTTCTTAGATGTTCTCTGTTTCCAATTTTCTTGACTTGCAGGATGGAAACAATATGTATAATAGTTGCTTTTAATGGTAGATGGACTGAAGGCTATAAATATCTTGATCATCAAACAAAGCTTTTCATAGCACCTGACTCAATTTGTCTTGAAGATTTCATTAAACAAATTTTTGAGCTTATTGAATTGGATAGAGAAAAGTTTGAATTAGTAATATGGTTTGATATCAACCTTGGAACAAGCAAACGAATGCTTGTATCCAAAGATTTAGATCTTCGTACATGTATAGAGTTGCTAAAAACTCATTCACTCTTCAAGGGATGTCGTTTCATAGTTGATATTGTGGAAAGAGTTTTTTCATCAACAAGCAATAAATATGTCAATACAGAAACCGAAAATGACAATCAAGAGCAATCCCAACAGATTGTTGAAATAGATATGGTTGAAGCTCAACCATTAAATGAAGAGGTGCTTCAAACATTTGAATCCGTTCACGTAGAAGGACAAAGCATTATTGAGATTGACAACGAGCAAGCTTTGGGTATTCAAGTGTTACAGAGTGCACCATTAATTGAAGAAGTTGCTGAACAAACTTGTCCACAAATAACTAGACGAAGATCAAAATTGAAACAAAAAGAATCCCCAACTACGATATTAAGAGAAAATGCTTCATTGGATGAAATAAAAGTCGGATCAGTATTTGAGAAGAAGAAGAGTATAATTAACTGTTTTTCCAATATAGCAATCAAAGGACATTTTGAATTCAAGGTTGTAAGATCAAGCTCAACAAGATATTCTTTGACATGCAATGATGATAGGTGTTGTTGGTGTGTGCGTGCTTTCAGAATAAAAGATTCAACATTGTTCAAGATAGTAAAGATTGAGAAAAAGCATGACTGCTCTGTTAACACTAGGAAAGCAGATCAAAGGCATGCTACTTCAAAGTTGATAAGTGGTTACATTATCGACAATCTTCGGGATCCAAGATTTGAAGTTACACCAGCTTTTGTCAGGGCAAAGATGCAAAAATTGCATGGACTAGACATCGGATATCACAAGGCGTGGCGTGCTATTCAACATGCTTCCGCTTTAATAAGAGGAAGTCCCGAAGAAAATTATGAATTATCGTGTTCATACTTGTATATGATAACAAGTAAAAACCCAGGAACCTATACTAACATAAAGGTAGACGACAACAACAGGTAAACAATTTAGAACATGCTGTATTTTAATCTTGTTAACATTTCAGTTGTTACCAGAAGTTGAGGACTGTCTATCCTTAAGTTTTGAACTTGTAATTAAAAGTTAAGGACCTTCAGTCCTTAAGTTTTGAACTTTGAAATAAAAGTTAAGGACAACATGTCCTTAACTTTATTATTTCTAAATATAAGTTAAGGACTGACTGTCCTGAAGTTCATGTATTTTAACATTGTTTTATATCATATTTACAGGTTTGTTTATATGTTTTATGCATATGGATCATCAATAGCTGGTTGGAATCATTGTAGACCAGTGATTGCTGTTGATGAAACTTTTTTGAAGTCAAAATATCGTGGTGTTTTAATGATTTCAGTTTCAAAAGATGCAAATAACCAAATTTTCCCATTAGCCTTTGGAATAGCTGAATCTGAAAACAACAACTCCTATGAGTGGTACTTTAGTCAGCTTCGCAATGCAATTGGGAGCCGTAAGAATTTGATCTTTTTATCAGACAGGCATCAAGCTATTGCAAATGGCATTGCAAAGGTATATCCTGAAAGCCATCATGGGATTTGCATATATCATTTGGAGCAGAACCTAAAGCGAAGGAAGGTGAAAAATGAGGTGATAAAACTTTTCCAAAGTGCTGCAAGAGTATACAGGCGCAAAGACTTTGATCTATACATGTCAGATATTGCTAATGTAGATCAGAAGACATATGACTACTTGATGGAAGAACCACCAGAAAGATGGGCACGTTCTTGTAGTCCACGACGAAGATATGACATGCTCACAACAAACATAGTCGAGTCGATGAATTCTGTCCTATTAGATGCAAGGGAGCTGCCCATACTAAGAATGATGGATTTCATTCAAGTGAAGCTACAGCGATGGTTTTATGAAAGAAGAAAGAAAGCAGAAGAAACATTTTTTGATGTTTCTTGTTGGGTTGAGGAGGAATTGACGAAAAGAATAGATTTAGCATTTACTTTGAATGTAAGTATTATGTTCCATGTTTATATTATAATTTTAAGATAATTTAACATAATGTACTAACTTATAATTTTTCAACATTGAAGGTCTTCCCTGTTGATTCATGGCGTTCTAGAGTTGAAGAAGAAGGAATAACTTTCCTGGTGGACTTAAACAAAAGAACATGTGATTGTTTTCAATTTCAATTTGATGAAATGCCATGCATACATGCAATTGCAGCTATCGAGAAGAGAAACATCAAGAAGTCTGACTTTTGTTCGCATTGGTACTTAAGGGAATCTTGGCTGAAAACATATGAAAGACAAATACATCCTGTAGGACATACTGATTCTTGGAATGTACCAGAGGGTGTTAAGTCACAAATTGTTAAGCCACCAGATTTCAAAGTGCCACCAGGTAGAAGGCAAAAGAAGAGGCATATTCCTGCTACCGAGCAATCAAAAATAACATACAAATGTGGTCGTTGCAGAAGAATTGGCCATAATAGAACAGCTTGTATATATTCTCCGGCACTCCATCCATTTTCAAGAAAGCATAGAGAAGAGTAGATATATACATTTATGATTATCGACTCTTTTAAGTTTTTTGCTATAGATTGTATTCATTATTATTCTAATTTGAGTGGACGTATGGATTTTTAATATTTCTATCCTGTTAACATCTTTTAATTTCTTTAGAGTTCAACAATTCAAAGTTACGAACATGAGTCACTAAATTAAATTTGCAATTTAAAAACATTAGGACTATAGGTCCTTAACTCTGAATTTCAAGGAAAAAAAGTTAAGGATAGTAGGTCCTTAAGTTATACTACCAAGTTCAAATAAAAACATTAGGACTATCGGTCCTCAACTTTGAATTTTAAGGAAAAAAGTTAAGGATAGTATGTCCTTAAGTTATAGTACCAAGTTCAAAACATTAGGACTGACGGGTCCTTAACTTTAAATTTCAAGTCCTAAAGTTATAATATCATGCTCAAAACATTAGGACATATTGTCCTTAACTTTGAATATCAACCCTTAACTTTGAATTTCAAGCTATTAAGTTATAATCTCATACTCAAAACATTAGGACTGTCGGTCCTTAACTCTGAATTTCAAGGAAAAAAGTTAAGGATAGTAGGTCCTTAAGTTATACTACCAAGTTCAAATAAAAATATTAGGACTATCGGTCCTCAACTTTGAATTTCAAGGAAAAAAGTTAAGGATAGTATGTCCTTAAGTTATAGTACCAAGTTCAAAACATTAGGACTGTCGGTCCTTAACTCTGAATTTCAAGGAAAAAAAGTTAAGGATAGTAGGTCCTTAAGTTATACTACCAAGTTCAAATAAAAACATTAGGACTATCGGTCCTCAACTTTGAATTTTAAGGAAAAAAGTTAAGGATAGTATGTCCTTAAGTTATAGTACCAAACTCAAACCATTAGGACTGACGGGTCCTTAACTTTGAATTTCAAGTCCTTAAGTTATAATCCCATGTTCAAAACATTAGGACATAATGTCCTTAACTTTGAATTTGAATTTGATCATAAAATAATACTAACAAACTCAATGGACAAATAAAGACTCCAGAAAAAACAATGATATAACTAACAATAAACCTTGATATATACTTCTGCAATTGTAATTTTGCATAGCACTTACCAAAAATTATGCTATGTCAACAAAATATGAGTACCTTTTCACAAATTTACAAACTATTTTAAGAACTATACTAAACTAACAGAATTCATAGGGGAGCACATAGCATTTACAACAGTTTTTTACAAAAACAATACCACAAATTCTTTACAAGTCCTTTTCACACAAATTTTCATTCTCACTTTCATAATCATC